TTTAAGAACCATGGCTTACGTTCTCAGATTTATTGGTCGTACAACCAGGAAGGAAGGTCCCTCTTTTACCCTAATTTCCAAGACAGGACCTTTCAGAGCGTCCGATTACAATCTAGCAGAAATTTACCTTATCAGATGGGAGCAGGCCGAGTGCGCTGAAGAGCTCTCTAAATTCCGCAATTCCATTGACCCTCATGGAGTCATGCGCCTTCAGACTCGAATTACTAATAGTCAAGGCCCTAAGGGATTAGTCCATCCAACCCTTTTACCCAAACATTCAGAAGTCGGAAAATTAATTATTAGTCATATCCACCACAATCTTTGCCATGGGGGTGTCAGTTGGACCCTCACCGAGTATTTAAATCAGTATTGGCAGCCAGGAGCTCGCATGGCAGTCAGGAAGGTTGTTATGAATTGTCCTTCTTGTCGAAAGATAAATTCATATAAGTATGCCCTCCCGACCATGCCTCCTCTTCCTTCAGACAGAGTTCAGCAAAGACGACCCTTTCAGTCAATAGGAGTCGATTATGCCGGTCCCACCCTCACTAAGATCCAAGAAGTAAATGTGAAATGTTGGCTAGTGCTGATCACATGTCTCACCACGGGGGCAGTGTACCTTGAACCGACCCTCGACCTAACCGCAGCCTCGTTTTTAAATGTTTTCCGCAGATTTATTATTCGCCGCGGTCGCCCGGACCGAGTTCTCAGTGACAATGGAAGAAATTTTGTCCTTGCTGAAAGAGCTATCAGATTTGCTCTGGCTTCCCATAGTGCCGAGAGCAGAATTGAGTGGAAGTTTATCCCGTCCTTATCCCCTTGGGCGGGAGGAATTTACGAGAGAATGGTCGGAATGGCCAAGAATTGTTTCAAGAGATCTCTAGGCAAAAGAATTCTCCCTTACGACCAGTTAGCCACCTTCACCGCAGAAGTGGAAGCTACCCTCAATACCAGACCGTTGACTCATACATCAGACGAAGAAGGAGAAATACTTCCTCTTAGACCAATTGACTTTATTCAGCCGGGGGCAGTTCTCCACTGTGATCCCCTGAGTCCAGAATCAGATAAACCGAGACCACTACCCCATGAACAGCTTATCGCGTGGTGGAAAGCCACCCTCGAAAATTTAGATAACCTTTGGATGAGGTGGAGGAAAGAGTACCTCGTCACCCTTCGTGATCGATCTAAATGGGATCACGTAGGCCCCCGATTACAAATCCATTCAGCTCCCCAGCTAGGCGAAGTCGTATTAGTAGAGAACTTAATGCAACCCAGAAATGAATGGACCCTAGCTAAAATAGTAGAATTAAATGGTCACCCAGGACCAATTCGAAGTGTTAAGCTACTAATGCCCAACGGCCGAATTTCCACCCGTCCCGTCAATAAAATATTTCCGCTAGAGGCGAGCCCCATTGAACCTGAAACAAGTAATGGGCCTCAGGCTATAGAGCCCTCGAATCCTCAAAACGAACCAGTTGGGGGTGAGGAGCCTCCAACTCAAAAGGAAGGTTCAACTGCTATATCAGAGCAAAAAGAAGTTCAATCAGAACCACAAGCACTAGAATACCCCAAGGAACCAGTCCAAAAGGAAAATAAAGAAATAGAGAAATCAGTTTCCAAACATGTTATGATTACCCGTAGGCGCGCAAAATTAGCACAAACTCAGTTAACTCTTGGTGTTATTTTCCTGCTATCACTATTTGCCGTAGGCGGTAACCTAGCCGCTCCAATTTGCGATGGATGCCCGTCCTGCAAAGGATGTTTAGTCCACTGTAGCAAAGCGGGAGTGAGCCTATTCGCCCCGGAAAAAATCAGTAAAATTCAGATTTGTTGCCCCGGGAGTTGTTCAGTTCTCCCCGGTCAAAAAGAAATTACACATTATTTGCCCAGAGACATATTGGTGAACGACTACACATGTCACGCCAACTTTTGGGATACCAACCACGAAGAACCCTTTGAGGTCATAGCCAAGTGCTCAGCCTTTAACCCATGCCAATTAGTGAACTGTTATTTTTGCCTGGACTTGCTAGCAAATCCAAGTTGCGATTTCAAGATGTTTACCTTTGTCCTTATTTCTATAGCCTTTCCCGCATTTCTGATCCTCAGTTGCCTCTGTGGTGCCCTTCAGCGAATATTCAGACCCTTTAGGGCATTCATAGGAATTTTCCGTTCCCTTAACAGATGGGGGACGAGAAAAGGAGAATTAGCCGTGGACAAAGGAAAAAGAGTCCTAACCAGTAAAAAAGCCTTAATAAAAGAAAAAGCTCATGGAGCTAAGAAAAAGATACAAAAGGAAAGCAAGGAACTCAGTAAAGCAAGTTTAGCCCGGTTAGCCAAGTATGGGATCACTTTTATTATTTTTGTCCTCCTAACCCACCTAGCCTCAAGCGATACTATTTCAGTCATGTCAGAGTCAGAAAATTGCCGAATTAATAATAATACCAGAATTTGTTCAGTTTCAAGCTCAACCACTCTTACTCTATTACCAGCTGGCCAACCCACTAATCTCCTGATAAAAGATGAAAAGGGAGAAATTTTGGGGGCCCTAACCTTTAGTTTATTGAGCTTGACCCTCAATTGCAACCCAAAAACGCTAGCATTCTTGAGAAGTTATCGGATTAATACAAGATCTGTTTGGCGCTGCCCTACGACAGGTTCTTGTACTGGTAGCTTTTGTTCTAATGTTGGAGCGAACACTCATGTCCCCGAGGTCGTAGAAGTTATGAAAGAGCCCGGAGCAAGTGGGTGTAAGGAGTCGTCAGCCCTTTGGAGTAAAGGTTGCGGACTTCCGACGGCAAGTTGTCACTTCTACAGATGGTACGCCGTTCCCACAAGCTTAGACCTGTTCGAGCTTTTCACATGCCCTACCTGGGATTTTCATATTAAAGCTTTGTTTCAGCTCACAGTAAGCTCCCAGACATACGAGGAATCAGCTATCCTCCAGCCAGGATTGACCCACCATTGGTTAAATACATCTATAACCCCGATAGCAGTGACTAATCCACCATCTCCGACTCTAAGCACCCCATTCCTCACTAACGGATTCTCAGTAGCCCTCGGGCAAGACGTCCCTCGAGATTTGAAATGTGCCGACGCCCAAAGTGCCCTAGGGTTTGGATGCAATATTTCAAAAGACGCCTGCCGAGAATGTCACCCAACTACCGACGGTTCAGTTCAGTGCCAATGTCGAGAGTTCGATGGAGAAGCCATCCTCGAAGACCCAGAGAAACGTCTCCCTCTTTCGATAAACAGACAGATATTTCTCGCAGAAGGAGAGACCGTTCAAGTTGAACAACCCTATTCACCCATACAAATACATTTCAGAATGTCCAGTTTTAAATTAGTTAACGAAATAACCGAATCAGTCTGTAAAATCACTATAGAGAGCATAGGAGGGTGCTATAAGTGTACCACAGGAGTTCAGATCAAGTTTTCTTGCAATACCAATTTTGGTGTTGCCCTTGCACATATTAAATGCGACGATGGAATAAATTTCGTTGCGAGATGTTCCAAAGAAGGCATAGAGGGAATTGCCAATTTTGCCTACAACCGATCCCAGATAGAAACGAAATGTAAAGTAATTTGCCCTGGAGGAGAATCCCCCCTCCAATTACAAGGCCAGCTCCTTTTCATACCCCTAAAATGGAGACGAGATAAGTCGATCCATTCAGTGCAAGGAGAGGCACCCTCACAAGTTGGCATAAATCTCTTGAAATTTCACCCATTTTCCTTCTTATTATCTAATTTTTTTCCAAATTTTCAAATTTTCATACCCATTCTCTTTATTTCCATAATTATTATACTTACCATAACCCTCCGTTTTAAACTTAAGTTGTTAGGAAAGTTAACAACTTTGCTCCCCCTTTTGTTATTTTTCAGTTTGCCAGGCGCGGAAGGGGTCAGAGACCCATCGAAATACAAAAGCACGCCATACCCCACCAACCCTTTTCAAAAAATTTTTCATTCAGAAATGAGATCGCCAGATGGCGATAAACATTTGCCCAACTCTTTGGCTAAAATATTTTTTGGCCATACAAAAGGAATTGGCAAATGTTGTTTATTAGAATTTAAAATACAAAAGATTATGCACGGCCAGAAGGACCGAGCAATTTCCCCCTTAACTTATAAACAGAAAAATGTGCACGGCCTAGTCAGGTGCAGTCCATCTACTCATTGTATAAGTAGTAAACAGATAAAAGCGCAGCTGCGCCGCCAGAAGGGGAAAAGTTACTCTCAGAATAAATTTGGGAAGGAAGGCGGTCCTAGCTATGGCCGAAGTAATTTTTTCTTTTTCTTTTCATTTATACAAATCATTTACTTCAAATTCTCCAATTCTTATATTTTTATTTTTTTAAAATACTTTATTAATTTAAAAGAAATGGCATTCAGATTGCCCCCACCCTTAGAAAATCAGACAAGGATGCGATACTTAGAGAAGTGTCGTGAGAGTTCGTACACACCACGGCCCCCGAATTCGGGTGAAAATATGGCCGAGTATCTAATCAGAGCAATGGATAATGGAAATCAGAATTGGGAAGATAAAGTATTCCGGCAGCGAGCCGAGGGATTGCTTCTTGTGTATTGGGAAGATTTATTCCTTCGGGGAGAACCGTTACCGCCAATTAGACCGATTCTCAGTCGCCCAGCTAATATGACACTAGTTCAGCCGCAGATAAGTGTTGTTCAGCATTTCATTGAGAAAGGAGCCCCGCTAGCGTTTCCCAATCTCCCGTGTTTAATTTTTAATGGCGGGATTAGAGGAAGTTCCCGTGAAAGCCGAAGGAACTCCAGACGGGTGGGTCATCCGTGCTGGAAAGCTGGATTTTTGCATAAAGACTATGTTCCATTAGAGAAAATTATCTATAAGACAGAAATGGAAACCCCGGATCAGATTAGGGGTTCGACACCTCAGCCATCACCCCCAGTTTTGGTGAAAAAGGAAGACAAGGGCGCCGAGGAAATCAGACTCTCCGCGCGCGGAATTAGGTCTATAACTATCACTTTTATGTTAGCTATGATTTTTTGTCCAGCCATCGCGGGCTTTCGAGCCGATTTTTCTCAGAATTGTTCTCTGAATCCTTTCGCGTTAGAATTTTTCGATCCACTTTCTCACTCATTAATCAATTCAATTTCTTCAGATTTAAAATATTTAATGCCCAAACGACCAGCAACACGAGAACAACGTGAGGAAAAGCGTGCCCGAGAAAAAGCATATATTGAGGTGTGCGGCAAACCCGTAACTTTAGAAGATGAGGAAATTATGAATGAATTTCTGGAAAGTAATGAAAATAACAACAACGATAAAGTTGTTGAGGAATTAAAATTAATGGAAACTTCAACATCAAATATTATTGAACAACCGCCAAAGGCGGATTCACCAGTCATTGACGTGGGCCTCCCACCGAAATTAGACAACAAACAACCAGTAATGTACTCTATACTTAATTTACCAGAGCAGCAAGAAATTCCTCAGGCAGCAAGTAAAGAACAACAACCAATTATTCATGCTCAACAAAAACAGCAAAAACAACAATTGATGAGTGTTGAAATTGGTAAGGGAATTTTTAACGGGGGAGGGATATCAGAAAATCATTCCCTCATTTTAGCTTCACGGCTTGAGCGCCGATTGGAAAAGGATAGGAAGGAACGGCTTGAGGCCGCGGCGAGAGCTAAGGAAGAGAAAGAAGAGAATAGAATTATGTTGAAAGCCATGTGGGCTGTAATTCAGGCAAAAGATAGTGAGAAAAAGGAAGAAAAGTCTGCCCCTGCCCCAGTTATCACCACGGCAAAACCGACTCCCGTTCCACTCAATACTATTTCGGCCGGTCCAGCGGGAACTTCCAACAATGCTAAGAATAGCCGGAACCGACCTTACGTCCCGAATCCTTCACGGCAAAAAGCCGGTCCGTCTCGTATCCCACCTTACCTGTCAGTTGTGGAATCCCGCATCAGATCAGTCCGTACCCATACTCTAGCCATCATGGAGGATTTGGAAAGGGCCAACGATGAAATTATTGAGGAACGTTTTGGCTCTCGTAATCCTCAGTTTGTTCAGGAACTGTTGGCGCTGGAAGCTGCCGCGAATCGAATGAAGAGAACTGTGGAAACCGCTTTTACGCGTCTTGACATGACGCCATGATATTTGGATTTTTTGCTCGTGGCGGGAATGTGCCGACTGGCAATCCTCGCTTTTTGATTTTTTTGGCCCCGATTTTAAAATTGTTAAAACTCCGCCTATTTTTTATTTTTTCGCTCGGCTGTCGCTTTCCCCCTAAAAAACTTTAATTCATTCTTCACTTATTCTTAACTTCTCTTTTTTAATCAACAACCAACCTAGCGCCAGCCGAGCTCATATATTTGGAATTTAATTAAAATAAATTTTTTCTTCTTTTAATTTGTGTTTTTATTTCTTGGGGGGTTTAAACCGGGTAGGATTTAACTAAAACAAATTGCCATCCGGCACAATTTCTAATATTTTAAAATTGACAATTCTTCGGTTTAGACACCTCTTTTTTGTTTCCCCTTGCGACATCTGTTCTTTTTATGGAGAATTTTTAGTCGAATTACATTAAAATCTATAAAACACAGCCGAAAATCAATCAACAAGCTAGTCGCTTGTTATTCTATTTGATTTAAAGGACTCACAAGCTAGGCGCTAGTGATAAAACAGCTAGGCGCTGGTCCTGATTATTTCTACAAAAAAGCCCTATCACAGCTAGGCGCTGTTTGATTGTTTGCTAGGCGCAAACCGGTTTAATCGACAATGGCAACATTTACAGCAGAACAATTCCAGCAATTAATGCAAGTGCTAGGTGCAAATGCAAACAATTCAGCTGCTGCTTCTCTCGCTTCAGCATTGGATTCTAGAATTGGGAAATTCTATTATGAGCCAGAAGCTGGACAGCCATTTGAAGTGTGGTACAAAAGGTATTCAAATTTCTTTGTGGAAGAAGGAAAAAGTCTGGATGACTCAGCAAAAGTACGACTTCTCGTCGGAAAGATAGGCGAAACTGAATATGCTACATTTAGCAATGCCGTTCTTCCATCCACACCAGACCAGCTGAAATTCAAAGATGCGGTTAGTAAGCTTAGAGATTTGTTTGGAGATAAGCGATCGTTATTTGTTCGACGCTATGAATGCTTCAAGATTCAGCAACAGCAAGGACAAGATATTTCATCTTATGTTGCTTCGATGAACGCGTCTTGCGAGAATGCAGACCTCACCCTGACAAAAGAAGCTTTGAAATGTTTAATCATGGTTGTAGGTCTCCGAGAAGAGTACCATGATCTACGACAAAAATGCTTAAAACTTCTTGAAGATGCTCGACGAAGAAATGAAAACTTCACGCTAGAGAAATTAGGTGAAGAATGTAGAGCATATATGTTGATTAGAGAAAGTGCTCATTCACTTTCGAATGCTAATCCAAGTCAGCAATCCATAAATGCGATTCAATCGAAGCCAAAGATTTGGAGAGAAAAGCCTAAGAAGAAAAGTACTCGTAAAATAGGAGGCATACAAGGCACACAAAGCAAAGAGACACATCCAAATTCGACTTGCTACTGCTGTGGAAAGCAAGGTCATTGGCGAAAGGATTGCAGATTTAAAGATGTCACCTGTAAAAGATGTTACAAGAAAGGTCATCTAGTCGACAACTGCCGTAGTAGAGATAGAGCGGATGATAGAAATACCCGCCGAATAAATACAGTCTCAACGTATTGTTTAGCCATGGAAGCTAAAAATCCAGACTGGTTTATAGTAAAAGTGGAGATAAATGGAGTTGATGTGGAAATGAAGCTAGACACCGCTTCTCAGATCACGCTTGTCACAACTAGGACATGGAAGAAGTTAGGGTGTCCAGCAGTGATGTCAAAGTTCCAAAATTTCTCTGGAACTAGTTCCAGTTCCAGAACTAGGTTTTTAATTTTTGTAGTTCCAGTTCCGGAACCAGCTTTTTAATTTATGTAGTTCCAGTTCCGTAACTCCATTTTTGAAATTCCTTAGTTCCAGTTCCAGTTCTGGAACTAGTTCCAAGCTAGTTCTAGTTCCAAATTTTTAAATTTTTTTTGAATATGAAAATATGGCTGTAGTATACAGGGTGACAAGAAAGTAACTGCAAAAAGTTAAAAAAAAGTAACCTGATATACAACTTACAACTCTTGAGCCTTGATATCACTCTTTATCTTTTTTCAAATCCCTCCTTATCAACCACAAATCTCTGTTCCCTCTTATTATCCTCCTTATCCATGATGTGGACCATGCAGTCTGGAAAGATACCGAGATTAGGAAATATGTAAAAAGATAATGCTACCGTGGGATTACGTAGGATTTGGAGGTATCTCTCAAAATCTTTAGATCTCCCTATAATTATTCCATTTTCAGCGACGCAGGCAAAAATTTGAAGAATTTTTGAAGTCCAGAAGCCAAATTTCTTCAATTTTCTGCGCCGCAGACAAAAATTTTGAGAATTTCGGAAGGCCAAGAAGCCAGAAGTCATCCATTTTCAGCGCCGCAGGCGAAATTTGAGAATTTGCGAAGATCAAGCCATCAGATTTCTTATTTTTTTGGCGCCGCAGGCGAAAATTTGAAGAATTTTTGAAGTCCAAGTCACCAGATTTCTTCCTTTTTTAGCGCCGCTGGCGAAAAGTTTGATAATTTTGGAAGGCCAATTCACCAGATTTCTTCCTTTTTTAGCGCCGCAGGCGAAAATTTTGAGAATTTTTGAGCTCAAGCGGCCAGATTTCTTCCATACTCAGCGCACTGCAGGTAATTTTCGAGGAAATTTTGCCAAAAATATACCCCCAAGAACTAGTTCCAGAACTAGTTCCAAAGCTAGTTCCAGACATTTACTAGTTCCGTAGTTCCAGTTCCAAGCTAGTTCCAGGCATTTACTAGTTCCGTAGTTCTAGTTCCAAACTAGTTCCAGATAATCGTTAGTTCCGTAGTTCTAGTTCCGGAACTGGAACTAGAACTAATTAGTTCCGGAACTGGAACTGGAACTTTGACATCACTGGTGTCCAGAACTCCAAATGGCCGATCTCCAAGTGAAAAACTGCAATGACATAGCCTTCGATATCCAAGGAAAGTTTGAATGTTCAGTGCAATTAAATGGAGCACAAAAGAAAACATTAACTGCCTATACATGCAATTCGGTTGCTCATGATTTCTTAGGCATTCCATGGATATGCGAACTGCAAGTTTTTCCACAGAAAATGATGGGAACTTTCCAAAAGTCTACTGCTAGAAGCGCAGTAGTGCAGGAAAATCAGCAATGGAGAAGCTATCTATGCGCTTAATTATAGATTTGGAAAAACGCATTGGCTTCCAGGAGAAATTATTTCAAAAGTTAAGAATTCTCCAACTTACCGAGTCTCGATTCCCTCGATAGGAAGAAACGTTCATCGCCACGCCAATCAGCTTAGAAAAAGATTACAAGTGATTGAAACAGAAGTTATGGCGCATGAAGATCAACAAGTGCAACGCCAAGCTAGGACTCCCACCCAGACAAGTCCGGCTCAAGTAAAGAATAATTCCGAGACTAGGCGTCACCAAATCGAGCGAGACCAAAATGTTCAAAAGACTCCACGACGGTACCCCAACCGAGACCGAAGACAAGTCCACCACTTTGACATGGACCCAAAGAAGAAGAGATATGAAAAGGGAGATTAAAAATCTTAAGAAGGGAGATGTTAGAGATGTGAGACTCTAAAGAACAAATTTGAATTGACCTAATCGACATTATGACATATTCCCTTCCCGCTCATTTTATGTGTATTTAAGCATTTCCCTTTTCCCTCATTTTGTTCGTTGTCTTATTCATTCCATATTTATTAAGTGACTCGGTCACAATCAAATTGTTATTTTATTTATTTAAAATAAACTTTATTATTATTCTTAAATTGTGTTATTGGGGAGAAACACAACAGGAAGAAATCGGGAAACCGAAGGAAGAAGGAAAAAAGAAGAAACCGAAGAATTACCTCAAAATATTTTTAGAAAATTTACCTAAACTTCCTTTCTTAGGAGGGATCGAATTTAATTGCTTTAAATTTTTTAAAAGAAATTTAATTTCAAATTAGCCAATAAACCTGTTCCTCGTTTGCGGACATTCCTCCCAAGTTATGATTCATTGATGTGCCTGAATTTTCTGTGTTAAAAATATTCTGCTGATTTTTTAACATATTTTCGTGAGAATTTTTCGCCATAGACGGAATTAATTGAGGGTTATTTTGAGTGTCATCGTTCAGAATTTCAAATAAAGTTTGACCAAAATCAGGCTGCGTCTGAAGTTGGAAATTGTGTTGAAGACTGTTTGGCATGTTCTGAACTAATTGGTTCGAAGGATTATCATGATATGTGGAGTAAAGATAATTTGGGACTTGATTTATTGCTTCATTTCCAAAATTTGTAAAATTATTATTCAAATGTTGATTAAATTCTTTATTTTTCTTTTGTGATTTATATCTGTTTTTAAACTCTTCCAGCGTTTTATTTTGATTCTTTAAAAATTCAAGAAGCTCTTTTTGACTTTCATTATCACCTTGACTATCCTCCAGAATCTCCTCAATAATTAATTTGTGTCTTGCAACTTCATTTATTGCTGCATTCTTAAAGTTATCCATGCTTTTAGCATTTTGTTCAGTTAGATACATTTGATCTAAATTTAAATTTTTCGACCTATTTTCCATATATAACGCTTCTGTGGTTAAATTATTCATGTTGTTATGGTGTTCCAAAAATGGAGTATACCCGAAATTACTCAAATTTTCATTCAAATTTTGATATTTTTGTGTTCCCAAATTTAAAGACTTACTTAACCCATCAAATTTACTTTTTGAACTGTTTCCCTTGTGAATATTTTGTTGAAAATGTTGATTATGATTTGAACTTGATGGCCTTTCGTTTGCCAATGATTGGTGAACGAAACCGGTATTATTTAAATTTTGTTCTGGATTTACCCGATTTTGTTGATAGGTATGTTGATTAGACTTTCTGTTGAACATTTGTTCAACAGGTATTATCGTGGTATCTTAGTTTTATAAAATTAAACGATATTTATAAGCTAAGTATAATATAAAAACCATTTCGAGTTACTTGGCAATAGTAAGACGGGAGATATCCGGCACCGGTTACTACTTGATATAATTAACGGTTAAGTTATGGTAACGGTCGAGCTTAGTCCA